TTCAATATATAATGTAATATAATATATATTATATATATTATAGATATATTATACATTTAATATTTAATACTTATGGGATATATACATAACATATTCTATTTTCATTATATTATATATATATATATATATATATATAATCAAAAATGATCCTGTCCGAACGTTCGGACAGGATCCTTCGTCCGAACATCCCCGTTGGTAGTCCTTCCCGGTGGAATTTTTTGAGCATGTTCCTCATCAAGTCTAGTTTGTCCATACCAAATTTCAGCTCAAAATTCGATCGGGAAGGCATTCAAATCATTTTTTGAAGTTGACTGCGTTTTTATATGTATATTTTGACGTAGTCAACTTCAAAAAATCATTTGAATGCCTTCCCGATTGAATTTTGAGTTGAAATTTGGTATGGACAAACTAGACTTGATGAGGAACATACTAAAAAAATTCATCAAAAAATTCCACCGAAAAGGGCCTCAAACGTCCATGTTCAGACGGTGTTCAGACCATAATATCTACTGTAAACCATATAATAAAGCATATGGCATAACCAAGTAAAATATGGCATACTCCGTAATATATAGTACTCCGATCTGTATAATTAATACAATACTCCGTATACATTAGACACATTTACACGCACAAACTACACACATACGAAGTACATGCATGATAAAATATACGTTAAACTACCTTTTTTTTGTTTTACTGAAATTATCTATCTAATACACTCTTGAAAATCCTAATCTTCTTCTACTACCTGGATTTGGGTGCGGCAGATAAACTCTTGAATTATAGGCATGGGTTGAGGCTTTGTAAGTGTAGTATCACTCACCCTGAATTTTCTTTTTCATTCAAAACCGTATTAACCTTTATTTTTTACTTGAACAAACTCAACTGTGCTTTTTGATGATAGCATGTATTTTCCTGAAAGGAAATACACCAGTTATAATAAAAAATGATAAGACCGGTTAAATTTATCGAACATGTTTTGGATGATCGAATACCTCCTCATCATGGAAGACAATTTGCATTCGTTGTCCCATTTGGGTTGTGGTGGCATTTGGTATGCTCGGATCACTCCTTGTTGAGTGATCACATTAGACCATTTGTAGTGGTTATAGATTAGGAGTCAAAAGATAAAAAATGGAATTTTTAGACTCTTAATTTGGTATAGTGGTAGATTAAAAGGGGGACTAAAAGTGGGAAGGGGAATGGAAGAGTGTATAAATAGAGGGTTAGGTTGACAGGGTAAAAGAAAAGGAAAAAGAAAAAAAAAAAGAAAAAACGCGGCGCTCTTCTGCGGTGTTCATGCGTTCTGCTGACATCATGATGATGTCATGCAGATGTCATTAAAATCCCAATTAATTTTAAACTCTTATAATTTTTTTATTTGTTCTCCGAATTTTTCAAAAATTATACCAAAATTCATGAATTTTTATGATCTTTCATATGACACCAATATGTAATATATAAAATGTCAAAAAAAAATTAATTGTTGAAGTTTTCTTGAATTCAAAAAAACATGAAATACAAATTTTTAATTCATTGAGCCTTCACAAATACTAGCTGGATATTCCATAATCCAATTTTATTTGAACTATCTTCATTTTTTGTTAACAAAAAATTATATAAAAAATTAGTGAAATTTATTTTTTTTACTTCGAAATGTGTATTTTTTATTTCATAATTATCCAGGAAAAAAGTTAAAAGAAAAATATTGCTTATAATAATTTAATTAATGTTTTACTAAATCGATATGTAAAAAATATGCAGAGTGTATTATATTGACAGTGCACAGATGCAGGGAAAAATAGTATTGACGGAGTCTAAACACTGTTTTCATATGGACGAAATCCAAATTTAACAATTTAGACTCTTGACCATTACAAATGGTCTTACGGTTGTGTTTGGGGCCATTGCTTTGAGTTTGGTTGATGTAGTGTGGTGGGAAGCCAAACGGGAGAGCCTATTTATAATGCATTGGGTGAGTTCTCTGTATTGGTTGAGTCTTAATAAATTGGGTAATATCCAAAACATAAAACTGCAGTTTCCAACCGATCTCCTTTCAATTTTAAATTCATATTGAACTATTCGAACTGCAAAATTAATTAAAAAATAGAAAAAGCAACCAAATTTGTAATTGTTGTCTATGAAATGATTCGAGATGCATGCTATAGAGTGGTGAATCCGTGAATTGGTACTGCATTAAATGCTATGAAAAGTTTTGAAATGACATTTATACTTAATTTATTACTCCGTATTTGTATTCCATTGCAAAAAAAAAGGATGACACCCCATCCCTGAGGGCCCCCCAACACCGACAGGACGACACGATGGGAGGATGTAAATTGGACTATAATCACAATCTGATAGATAGAGAGTGGTGCTCTATCCCCGGTACTTGCAGAAGCCCTATGCATTTTTCAGCATAGTAACCCCTCATCGCAGTTGACGGGATTCGAACCCGAGACCTAACCCCTGTGGCACTCCCTCGCTACCAGTTGAGCTACGCCCACGGGTTGTATTCCATTGCAAGAAAGGAACACTTCAACGTGGTCATACTTGCTCCATTCCAATAATGCAAAAAGTTTATGATAGGATAAAGAAAGTTTAGAAATGACGGTTGGTTGCATTACATCAACTCCACATTAAGGGTCTGTTTGCAACAGCTTCTGCTTTTAAAGAAGTGCTTTTTTAATGAAATGGGGTGAAGTGATTAAATAAAAGTTGATAGTGTTTGAGAAAAAAGTGATTTTGAAAATTAAAAGTGGATAGTGTTTGGTAAAATAAGTGTTTTTTGTGTAATAGAAAAAGTAAAAGTACTTTTGACACGGAAGCCGAGAAAAATAAAAGTTATAGAGCCCGTTTGGAGAACTCTGTTTTCGGCTTATCATGCTTATCAGCCAGCTTTTTCACCAAACACGTAACTTTTACTTTCGCGCGCTGAATTGTGTAATAAGCCGAAAAAGTAAGGTTGGAGTTACTTTTCTGGCTGTATTGGCTGAAGTTACTGTAGAGGACCATTTTAGCTATTTTTACATATAATTTTTTCTTTAATTTATTAATAAAATATATTTTTAAAATATTTTTTCTTAAATCAGCAGAATCAGCCAAAACAGCCACTCCAGCCAGAATATCATAAATTTCAGCAGAATCAGTCAAAACAGCCGATTTTGGTGCTACCAAACGGGCTCATAGTGTTTGGGAAAATAAATGCTTTTTTAAAGCCAAAAGCTGAGAAGTGCTTTTTTTTAAAGCGGTTGCAAATCAACCCTAAATGTGTGCAGCTTTCTCCTAACCCGTTCAATACTTCAGCTCACACTCTTTCCCATACATGTGCTTAGTTGAAAAGTAACAGGTAAATGGGCGGGAATTTTGGCTAGCATTCCACACGGGTGATGCGACAAAAGTAGCATCATTCTATGGCTTGAGCACTGCTGCCTCAAAGTTGTTGGGCTGTCTATCGCCGTCGTCAGACAACCGGACCCCCCCCCCCCAGAATTCTGCCATTGCCACTGCCAAGATGCCGCCATTAACAAACTATCCTTGGTTTTATGCAAAGGAACTAGGAAAACCATTAATTATATTAATTAAATAAATAAGTGTAGAAATGTAATGCTTGGTTCTATTTAACTTAGGGGAAATCAAACATAAAATCCTATTTTTTAAAGAAAGCTACTATCTTCTTTTTCCTTAAATGAAAGAGCAAAAAAGTAGGAAAGAGAATACATAAAGTATAGGGAAATACGTTCAAAAAAGTATAGGAAAATAATGAAAAGTAGGAAATATAAAGTGGTTTGTAAAAAATAAAAAGAGCAAACATAAAAAGTGTGGAAATAAAGATATTCTGATAGAATCAATTTAATAAATAGGGAAAAAAGAGACGAACAAAAAAATACATTTAAAATGGAATAAGAGACAACTAATAAAGCGTAATTGGAAAGTGGCTACACACTAATTTATGTCTTCTACGGAGAACTAAAAAAGTAAAAGCACTTTTTGAAAAAAAATGATTAGTAGTAAAAGTTGGTAGTGTTTGGTAAAATAAGTGCTTTTGTGTAATAGAAAAAGTAAAAAGTAGATTCTACACGAAAACTGAGAAAGTAAAAGTTGGTACTATTTGGTAAAATAAGTGGTTTTTTCTTAAAAAAAACCACAATCACTTATTTTAAGTGATTGCAAATAGAGCCTAAGGGAAACATTAAATCATTAATTTATATCTACTTTCTCCTGCATTGAAACACTCCGGTCAAAACGAGGTAATCGCATTGACCGGGTAACGAGTATGGGGCGGGGAATACCCGTTTTATTTTTACGGGTAAAAAGTCGAATACGGTTTTATACATGTCCGCCCATTACCCGTCCCTTAACCGCCCGTTTTTATCTCACAACTACAAAAAGATGATATTTTCTATTTTCATTGTATATATACTGGTAATAAATGTTTTAACTATGGTGTATAAATGAAAGTTCATAATAGATCTATATTTTAATAATCTTGTTTGATTATTATCAGATTTTTTTATGTCATTGATTATTTTTTTCCTGATTAAATGTTTTTAAGTTCAAATTAATTTAGATTGTCTTTTTCTTATTTTGTAGATATATGAAATTTTAATGTGGCGTCTGAATCTAAAGTCGTCTAGGTGATGTCATTTTTTCTTCTTTTTAAAATATGATTTTTATACTACCACCGTCCCAGGGACAAGTTCTCACTTTCCTTTTTTGGCAGTCCCAACAAAAAGTTCCTATTTTCCTAAATGAAAAGTTATTCTACATCAAAACAGTGCTAAACAGTGCCAAACAGTGTCGAAATAGTGCCAAACAGTGTCGAAACAGTGCCAAACAGTAAAATACACCCCTCAGTAACTTTATTTTCTAAATATGTATGAAAGTCAACCCGGAAACTTCTCCCTGGGACGGAGGGAGTATTAAACATCAACTCATTTAATAAAATAAAGCTATTACCCCAATTATACTCGTAAGTCTTTTTTTTTTTTTTTGAGAAAATTCTCGTCACTCGTTGGAACAGTTATAAATTTATAATTGGGATAAAAATCTAGCACCGGTGGAGGAATTACCGTCCCCCATCCGCCTGTTGGCATCCGTGCTCTCTAGTCTCTCCAGTAGTTATTCCCCGATTTGCCCTAGTTATTTAAGTACGGAGTCATAGTTTCTCGGTTTGCCGGGGTCGTTGAGGTTTTGAAATTCAAGGATTCAGCTTCGTACATGTGAGTGGATTCACTCTTTAATGTATTAGTTCAGATCACTAACATATGTTATCTCGATAAACGATTTATAAGCTCCTAGAATTGAATCTGGATTTCTGATGCGTGTTTACCTTGATTTTGCATTCTCCTGATGTTCATATTTATATTCATTATTAACATCTTAAATGTGATTGAGACTTTATGCTAATCGCCATCTCTAAGTTCGCATATCTTAGTAGATTAATTTTAATATATTTGTTCTTTAATTGCATATATTCAAGCTGCTGCTTTAGTGATGGCTATGAGAAGCTTGGATAGATTTAGCGAACTTCCCTCAGAAATACTTGACAAGATATTGGCATTAGTAGCCATTCAAGAAGCTGCTAGAATGGCCGTTTTATCTTCTTTCTGGAGAGAGATGTGGTTCAATCTCAGGGATCTCAAATTTGATTCTAACTTCTTTCGTTACATTGAGAGGAAATATTCATCTGCTCACAGTGACATCATGACCAAAACAACAATAAATAGTGATGTCTTGACCTCTGCTGGCATGCATGTAGTAAACAAAGTTCTTATGCAGCACAATGGTCATATTCGGAAATTTGAATTTTCATTTATTCATCACGCGAGAAGTTCGCTTACATCACGGGCATTTGACATTGATCAATGGCTCCTTTTGATCACACGAAGAGGTGTTCAAGAACTTGAAATTCGTTTTCTAGGAGAAAAAAAGATGAATACTTGCTGCCTAAATGCATATTCTCTTGCAACACTCAAGAGATTGTGGCTCCAAGGAGTCTCTGTTGAACCATTAAATATGCCTTGCATATTACCAAATGCCACCTCACTTTCTTTTATAAATGTTAAATTTGAGCCGAATGATGCTCTATATTACATGGTTAATGTTCCTATGCTCGACAGTTTGTTGCTTATCGGATGTGATAACATGTTCAGTTTTAACATCACTGCACCGAAACTCTGTACGCTAGGAATTCAGTCTTGTTGGTATGACCAGTGCAGTAATTTTCTCCCAGTTCACTTGGATTTGGGATCTCTCAGTACACTTAATTTAGATGCCCTTTCTCTCAAAGTATGTTAGTCCATTTCTTCCAACTACTCCGGACTGCATATTTATTTAGAATGCCCGGCAGAAACTAGTCTAATATTGTTTGCTCGTTTCTTAGAAATTTGTTGAAGACTTCCCAAGCAGTCAACTACAACTACAACCACATGAATTAAATGTTGAGAACCTCTGTTTAACAAATCCATATCATGAAGATGATGCTTCTGCTTTTATTCGTTTGTTGAAGTTATGTCCAAAGTCGCGTGAAATTCATATGGACATGGCGGTAATTTTATTTTCTTACACAAATAATAGCTTTGAAATACTTTAGTTTTTTTCTATATTAGTGTCATGCATCTATTAATTTAAATTGTTTTGAACTTTGTCTCATTGAGGATTTCTTCTTTTTTTTCCCTCTTTGTGTTGCACTTCCTGAAGTTTGTCGAAGCTCTGGGAGATTGTTTAGGCACAAAGTCGGAGAATTCAAAGGAACTTTATCGCGTGGCTGAAACACACAGCTTGCTTCACACTTTATGTATTGACTTCTTTGATGCATGTGAGAATTATCCAGCTTTGATCAAGGGGCTAGTTTCCTCCTTTCCAACACTTGTGAAGTTTGTCATCAATGACCTACACTCTGAATTTAATCAAAAGATTTTGGAGTTTCCGACAACCGTTGAAATGAAGGTTGTGAATTTTGGTATTGAGTGATTTCTGGATTGTGTGATTGGCATTGTAGGAATTGCGTTTGGCATTTTCTATCATTTCAATTCAATCAATGATTTCTGGATAGCATAGCCGATTATGACTACACAGTAGTTTGGCATTTCTGTATTGTTTTGCTGTTAACTTGTTAATGCTACTTTGGCAGTTTGGCTAATAACTACTGTGTATTAATTTTAAAGCTAAAAAGGGTTGGTATGGGGTGGGGAGGGTTTAAAAAACGGAACCAAATGGAAAAAGGTTTGGTGGCCAGAGAACCACAAGCTGCCTACAACTATAAATAAGGTCTTGCCTCCCTACTTACTCTCCCTAGGGGCTAGGACCAGTCGGTTTGGGACATGAACCGACCAAAAATCAGATTGGGTTCGCCTCTAATCACAAGGATGGTGGATATGAGACAAGACTTTTCAAGTCATTTTAACAAGAGCCCACTCTCAAGATTTGAATGACACAATAATTGGTGGACCAAAACTCCCTTTCAAACTTTTAGGCCCTTGGAGGGTTTCGGGGAAACATGTTGATAACCACAAACTATTCATCTCCTACGTGAAGGGACAAAACGATATAATATAAAAAAGGTAAAAAATAAAAAGTTTTGAAAAATTAAAAAAATTACTCCCTCCGTCCCAGGGAGAAGTTCCCGGGTTGACTTTCACACATATTAAGAAAATAAAGTTACTAAGGGGTAAATTTTACTGTTTGGCACTGTTTCGACACTGTTTGGCACTGTTTCGACACTGTTTGGCACTGTTTTGCACTGTTTGACACTGTTTTTATGTAGGATAACTTCCCATTTAAGGAAATGAGAACTTTTTGTTAGGACTGCCAAAAAAGAAAATTGGGAACTTCTCCCTGGGACGGAGGTAGTAAAAAATTAAAAATATAAAGATAAAAAATTAAAAAAAATAAAAAATTTAAAATATAAAAAATAAAAAAATTAAAATTTTAAAAATAAAAAATAAAAAATAAAAAAAAAGGTTATAAAATTTAAAAAAAAATTATAAAATTTAAAAAGTAAAAAATCAAAAAATAAAAAAATTAGTATGACTCACGACCATAGGAGTAATATTCACCATAGTTAGAGATGTATCTATTTTTTTAAGTAAGCTATCAAATAAAGGTAAATTAAGAAAATATTTTCATTAAACCTTTCCTCCTATTTCTTCCAACCAAACACAAATTTTTATCAAAATTCTTCCTTCCCCTTCCCTTCCCTCCCCTTCTTTGAACCAAACAAGGCCTTAAAATTTATGAATTTCTTAAATTTGCCATTTTAAAATGAAAGGAAAAGGATTAATGATTTTCATTGTGGAAAGAAGTAAAATCGTTAGTGTCTGTAATCAAAAGACTTCACATTCAGTCATTGAGGGCGTATCCACGAGGGGCAGTGGGGGCAGTTGTCCTGCTCAAGAGGGAAAATAGTTATGGATAAACATTACATTTGGGGGCGTGTCGCACATTCAATACACCCCATTTTAATAGGCCGAGATAAAAATAAGGAAAAATTAAAAATAATAATCCCAATTATTGCCGGTCCGCTGACAATAATCACAACTATTGATTATTTTTGTATAATCCCAACTATATGGATCGTCCGCCAATAATGGTCCATGACCTTATATTATCTCCTATAAAAAAGTGAATTTTAAATAGAAATGAAACGTAAAAATTAAAAGTTAGGATTATTTATAGTAATTACTTGTTATATCTCTTCTCATCCACTTTAGAAACTACTGAAATTTATTTATAGGGACCATTATTGGCGGAAGGTCCCTAAAGTTGAGATTATTATAAGCGGGCCGTCAAAAGTTTGGATTATTACTATCAATTTTTCCTAAAAATAAACGTCTTAGACATTCATTTATTCTTCATCTTGCAGGTTGTGAATGATATGTGTATTAGATGTCCTCTAGTAGAGTAGCTTTTGAAGGGCTGAGCATAATTCGGTCGGACCGAAAAACCGGACCGAACCGGACCGTTCGGTCCAAACCGGATCGTTCGGTCCAAACCGGACCCGGACCGGATGGATACCGGTCCGGTCTTCGGTCCAAGGGTTTTACCAATTCCGGTTCGGTCCAGTCCAAAACCCGGATATTCTGGTTCGGACCGGTTAGACCAGAATTTAATTATTATTATGTATATATGTATTTGTATATGTATTGGAAAGAAGAGTCTCGTTCCTATCACGAGCTCTTGAAGAGAAGCTCCACGCGGACAAGATCATCAGAGGGTCTTCCCGGTGGAATTTTTTGATGAAATTTTTTGAGCATGTTCCTCATCAAGTGTAGTTTGTCCATACCAAATTTCAGATCAAAATTCGATCGGGAAGGCAGTCAAATAAATCCAGGAAACATATTGCACATTATATGTGCGCAGAATGCGCTATATTTTTCAAAGATAAAACAGGCAAAAATCCCAATTTGAGCGAAACCGCACTGAGGCGTCAAAAATGGAGAAACAAGAGTCAATGGGAAAAAGGGACCAAGAACCGGCACCTCGGGGTCAACAACGGGCGTCAAACGGAGCAAAAAGCGAAGAAAACACAAAAATGGGGTTAAGTGGCGCCGGTCCACCCCATAACCGGCCCTGGCCCGTCAGTTTTTCACAGATGCCACTATCCAGTAGCTCAACCAGCGCCGATTAGGTCATTTTTCCAGCTTTCCCTGCGCCCAGTGAAGAACCGCCGCCGGCCAGGTCTGAAACCGGCATCGGTTAGGTCCGATTCTGCATAAAACACAAAGACGTGCATCAATATTTTGATGGGAAAACTTCACCTTCGTCATGATCTGATCAAATATATCTTCCATGCCTAATTGTTGGGCTTCAATAGACTAAAAGATGTCAATCTTTAGCCTATATAAAGCCCCCAATTCATCAAACAAGATCATTATTCCATTCTTGAAGATTAAATTTCAGTTTTTATATTTTGTTTTTGCATTCTCTTGAAGTGTTGGAGAAGAAGCCATTTCTCTCCTCTACAATTAGTTCTAGGTACTATTTCTTGTATGTTATTGTATTTCCTTTATCTTAGTTACACTTTTGTAATTAGTATGAGCTCAGGGAGCTAAGCTCTTAGCTAAGGCTAGGGATGAACTTTTATGCCCACTAGGTGTTTGATAAACGTTCTAAACCAATAAATTGTGATTTATCCTTTATATTTTGATTGTTTATGACTATGGTGTACAACATAGAAGTATGTTAAATTTAGTTTATACTTGCAATTAACGTTGAAGTCTAAACTATGAACATTAAAGGATAAACATATATATTACCGAGAATAGAAATATATCCGGTATTATATGATACGGGTGTGATGTACTGATGTCTTGATATTCAACAGGGTTTTCGGTAGATGAATGTAAGACGTAACGGGACTTACACTTAACAAAAACCACACTGTCGCTGTCTTAACCGGAGTTGAGAATATATTAGCGATATCGTATTCATAACTATTGGTAAAGAACTAATATTCAACCCTATTAAAGCATTTAAGTGATTCCCGAAGCCTTAGGCGTTATTATCATTCATTTTAAACCCGAGTTAATTAAAGTTGTTTCCTTGAATTAAATGTGAAAAACCAAAAAAGCAACACACAAATCAAAATCCATGCACTTTACTCATTTATTTATTTAAAGTCATCTACTCTCGGACTAAATTAAACAACGTTTTCCTGTGGCTTCGACCCGATATTTTACCGGAATTTATTACTATATCGGCACTTGTACACTTGCAAGTTTAGTCCGATCACATGCCCTTCGCCATAACGGTTGTCGCCCTCCTCCGATAACCTTAGCCATCTAAAAAATTGAATCTTTCATAGCCCTAATAGCCGCCGACCGCCGCCTTCCTCTGATGACCCTACTCGTCAGTTTAGCACCTCATAAATCGAAGAAGATGTCTGGTCGCTGTGCCCATTCGAATCGAAGGAGAAGCAAAGTAGACATAAGAAGAAGAGATGGAGACACAGACGTTCCTATTTGACGACGATTCAAGTCGCGGCGGTGGCGGCAGGATGCGATGGGTAAGGTGGCAATGGAAAGAAGAACCGAAGAACATATAAGTTGTTAGAGAAGGAGGTGAGAGGCAGTCGTCGGACATGAGGGTCAATGAGAAGTGACGACATAGCTGACGGCGGTGGGGTGATGCGTCGTCTTCATCGCATGAGCGGTGCACCATCTCCAGATCTGAAACTGGTTGGCCTTGTCGAGCGATGGTGGAAATCAGAATTGGAATCCAAGGAATATGAGATAGTAAGGGTATTAGAGACATTTCCCCCCTCTTTTGGTCACTTATTTGTCTAAAATGGAACTTCATCTCATTTTTGTCCGCACAAGACCCGTAAGTCTTATTTCTGACATTCTTTCTAAGAGGTCAGTTCACATCAGGAGCTCCTGAAGAGAAGTCCCATGCGGACAAGACCATCAGAGGATCTTTGCCTGTTTTATCTTTGAAACATTTTGCGGTTTCGCTCAAATTGGGATTTTTGCCTGTTTTATCTTTGAATATTTGTACAGATAATCATAATTACCTATATAAAATATAGATAATTATTGTGCTTATCAGCATGGGAGGGGGTTATGACATGCTTGGGGTAGGTTAGGTCGCGTAGGGACGGGATACATGGTTTGCGCTGCAGTGGTGTGCGGTGGGTGGGGGCATGGTGTGGTTGTGGGATTAAGGTATTGGAGGGGCTCTGGCGGGGACGTGATAGCAATTGTGCTAGGGCCGGGGATAGGGAGGGGGCTGGGTGAAGCAGGGGGCTGAGATGTGGTGTTGGCGGTGGTGGTCGCCGGTGGTGAATTGGTGATTGCCGACGGTGCCTAGGTGGTGGTTGGTGCTGGGAACGATCGGAAACTAGGTCACTGGCGGGTGTTGGTTGGTTGTAACTGTAACTGTTTGGCGGTGGTCACTGCACCGAATTATTGTAAGAACTTATCACTGGGCGAGAGTCACTGTGTCAATTAGTCACTATGCGGAACTCACTGAGTCAGTTGGTCACTGGACAGAAGTCACTGTGTCGGTTGGTCACTGGGCGGAAGTCACTGCGACGGTTAGTCATTGGGCGGAAGTCACTGTGACGGTTGGTCACTGCACATATGTCATTGCGTATTAGGGGTAATTTGGTGACATGTTTTATGTTTGGTCTTATTTTTGGAATTTTAAAGAAAAGGTCTCTTTTTTGTCCAAATGCTCTATTTTAGTAATATTAGTGGACAAACCCCTATGTAATAAATTTGTATACACACAAACACATACTCCTTACATAATACATTGATTAATTTACTTTAAAAAAGTATACGTAGTGTTAATTAAGTAATACAATATCATAGACATTAACTCAATTTAAATACTTCGTACGTATTATTTACATATTTACACTGGTAAAATTTTGTAGTATAAAAACATTTGGAGTTGGAATATGTGCATTGTATTTACTTACGTTTACTTGTTTTAACCATAATATATACATGGTGTGATTAATTGAATTCTTCTTTGTTAAGTACGCAAAGCTATTAGGTCAAATCAATCACCAAATTAATTGAGCAAGAACATTAGTTTCCCGTACGAATACAGTGATTCATAAAATTTTATTAAGTCAAAATTGAATCACATGCATAGTTTTCATATTTTCACTAGTTTATGTGTTTATTTCTACTTATAAACTACTACATATATTATATTGATTAAAAGAGACATAAAAATGAAAACCACACATATAAAAGAATATAAATTAGATATAATCACATATAAAACATCATAAAATAATACTTTGTAATCGATACAATGAGCTAATACGTATATTTTTTTAACAATCAAAACTATTTTTTTAAAAGATGAAACATTGTAAAAATAATAAAATAAAATAAACCGGTCCAATATCGATCTGGACCGGAATACCCGAAATGATTCGGTCCAGTCTGGTTCTGGACCAGAATTATATAGGTCCGGTCTTTGGTCCACTTTTTTTTAGAATTCCGGTTCTGGTCCAAGCGGTTCCGGTCCAGTCCGGTCTTGGACCTGTGCTCACCCCTTAGTTATGATGGCATTCTGGGGGTGTTTGGAATGATTCTGCTTCTTCTTCTTTTTTAAAAACTGAAGCAGAATCAGAAACAATTTTTCAGAAGTTGATCTCTCTCAGCTTCTAGAAAGTTGTTTCTAGTAACAATTTGGAGCACCGAGAAGTACTTCTATATTTTCACCTAACCATTCTAATATTTGCTTCTTCTCCTCATTGTAGATGTTTGGTATGGACAAACTGGGAAATTGGTTTGTGTTATAACTTGTAACTAGATATAATTTGTAGGGCTGACATTTGAAACCAAAAAACTGAAAACCAAACCGAAAATAACTGAACCGCTTTAGAAAGAAACCGAACCGAACAAAATTGGGACCCGATAACCAGGACCCGCAAAAAAATGTTCGGTTTCGGTTTATGTACACAAAATATCGGTTTGGACCGAACCGACGTTTTTATATTATTAATAATAATTCTTATACTACATATATAATTATAATAAGAATTATTAGCTAAATATATCTACAACTATCATCAAATTCACAAATCTATCCCATACTTTCACTTTTATTAAAAAAGACTTAAACTTCAACTTTTCTCACAATTACATTTCAATGGATGAATTAGTAAAAATTTAGAAGAAAGTATATTCATATTTCATTTTTTTTCACTTGTTTCTAGTTTCAACTTTACAAATTTGTATTGCTTATATCTAATTGAATTGGTATTGATGAAAATGTGTAATTTTAAAAAAAAAAGCATAATTGTTGAAAAAGATGAAGTTTGAGTCTTTTTTTTTTATTAAAGTGAAAGATTAGGCTAGGATAAATTTGTGAATTTGATGATACTTTGATCCATTAATCCTTATAATAATAATAATAATAACAACAACAATGATAATAATAATAATAATGGATTTCAAAATAGTGTCATGTTATTGCACTAATGTGTCTCTAGGGCTTAACACCGCTAGTTTTCGGTCCGGTCTTGGCGATTTGCCAAGACGTGGTGCTTCACGATCGGAAGTAACGATCTTGGGAAGGGTTTGAGGCTATAAAGCGGGGGCGAGGAGTGGTGAACGGAAAAAGTAAAAATGAGGCTTGCATGTTAAGTCGAGAACGAGGAGGGGTGCATCACATATTGCTGCGCTCAAGGATGGAGACCATAGCGGATAGGTATAGGCGGATGAAGGTGGCGGAGAAGGAGGCGGAACCGGACTGCGATGATGCCGAGGAAGGAGAGGAGAACAGGGAGGTGGCTTGGTCGCGGTTCTCGGTGGTTGGAGCACTGATCCAGACCGGAAGATCAACTTTGCAGGCCTCAAAGAGGCGTTGGCATCGTCGTGGAGACCAGGCAGAGGGATGGAGATCAAAGAAATAGAAGATAAAAGGTATATCTTTAATTTTAATCTCCCTGTGGATATGAAGCGTGTGATTGAAGGCGGACCATGGCAGTTTGAGAGGATTCTATTGATTGTTAAAAAGTTCAAACCTACTGATATTCCTCACAAGATTATTCTGAATGAGGCCGAATCCTGGGTTAGGGTACATAACGTTCCCTATGGTCTGTTGAACCTAAGTACTGCTAGGAAAGTAGGTAATTTTTTGGGTAAGTTTGTTGATTATGATTAGAATAATTATGGGGAGCAGCGGAGGCCATATTTGCGTGTTAATGCTTGTGTTAATGTGGAGTTCCCCCTGAAGAAGGGTACAACGCTGAAAAAAGAAGGGGTGGGATATTGGGTAGATTTCCAATATGAGAAACTTCCCGATTTTTGCTTTATTTGTGGGGTTATGGGGAACTCTGAAAAGTTCTGTCCTCTTATGAATGAGGAGGGACTTGTACTAGAAAGGAGTTTTGATGCGTCTCTCAGGGTAGGTGGAGGGGTGAGGACCAGCCCTACAGGAAAAAATAAATGGTTGATTGGGGAGGACTCGAGTTCGGGATTGGAGAGTCAGGGGTGGAAGGAGCAAGGAAAAGTAGGAAAATCACTGAGGGATAATGAAGATGAAATTGACTCAGGTAGTACTTCCAATAAGGAAGTGGTTCTGAAACAAACTGAAGACGCCTCGGGAGAAAAGCGTAGGCGGACTTGGGAAATAGAGATAACTCAAAACCAGGACACCGAGGAGATGGCTCTAGATAATACAAAAAACGGGGAGGCGACGGACTTAGAGGGGTAAGCTCGTCAAGGGTGTGGGTGCTATAGATGAAGATGGGTTGGTGTTGCGGTGTGTTTGTTCGTGCCTTTGGTTGCTGTTTCTTTTTCTGTTGTGTTTTTTCTGTTTCTGGCAGGATTTGTATTTCCTTTTGCTATTTTCTTTGTTTTTCTGATTGTATTACATTATGTTTGGATTTGGTGGTAGTGGATGATTTAACTAGGATTACAGTCACTGGCTCAGTTGTGCCCATTTTTGGATCAGTGAGTTATATTACTGAGGTGATTGACTCCGACTTTGTTTCGCGGGACGGCGGTTTTCTTAAGTTATTTTGTTTTTTTACTGCTTTCTAAATGGTTTGAGTTATATGTAAGCCGATTTTCCTCAAAATAATAATAATAATAATAATTAATTAATTACATTGAATACATGTATAATGAATTTAATGACACAAACTTGAAGAGTAGCGGAGCAGGTCGGACGGAAGCGTATACCCTACAGCCGGCTGTACGGCTGGGCACCGTACAGCCGGTGGCATTTTTGTAATTTTGATGAAGTTCACGATTTGTCATAAATGAGCATTGATGTAATTTTATTGAGCATCGAGTCTGTTCTTCTGAGTATTAAGAGCCTAACTATGAGCACCCGTGGTCTCTGCTTCATACCTTCTAATTCAGTTTCTTTTTATTAATTTCCGTTTTTAAAAAATTCTTAAATTGTGTTTGTAATTAATTTCAATATGTCAATCTATTGTAGTATGATATGTTTGATATGTGCATCATTTTCAAATGAGCATAAACCAGTACCAAATGAGCATACCTAATTTACAAAATGAGTTTCAAAAAAATCAAAACTTCATTTGTGTATGCTCATTGATTTTGGGCGTTGTATTTAATATATGCATCATTTTAAAATGAGCATATAGCAATACCAAATGAGCATACATAATTTACAAAATGAGTATAAAAAAATTTAAAAGCTCATTTGTGTATGCTCATTAATTTTGGGCGTTATATTTGATATGTGCATCATTTTAAAATGAGCATAAAGCAGTACCAAATGAACATACATAATTTACAAAATGAGTATCAAAAAATTCAAAATCTCATTTTGTGTATGCTCATTGATTTTGGCGTTATACTCATTTAAGTTTAACATAAAACTCATTTTTAATGTGTTTAATATTTAGTTGTGTATGTTCATTTCTTTGAGGCGTATACTCATTTTTAATGTGTCTAATATTCAGTTGTGTATGTTCATTTTTTTAATGTGTATACTCATTTGAGTTTTTTATAAAACTCATTTAAGATCAATAGTAGTAGGGACTTCCTTTTTCTGCAGTAGGATCCCTTTGTCTTCCAAAATCACAATCTCAATCTCAATCACCAAAATTGAATAAGAAAAAGAGAAAAAAGAAAAGAGTGAAAAGAAAGACAGAGGAAATCTGTTGTGCCCATTCT